AAAAAAATAGAGGGCGAATTAGTAAGAAGAAAAATACTAACGTCATCGATGTTGATGGGGATTTTATAGAAAGAATAATCATGACACACATGGCATGTACGTCAACAGCAAAGAAAAAAAATTCTATTTTTATACTATTTTGTGCTTGAGTAATAGAATTAGTTGATAAAAATGAAACTTCTGAGTTATATAGTCTATAAACTGAATTGAATTTGAAGATTTACAACATGTTTTTTTTATAATACTAATAATGAAATTTAATACATTACGTAGGACAATTTTATTTTTAACAACAAAACATAATGCTATTGAAAAATGAAACGATATGTATATTTATGATGAATAAAATCATTCGTTAAATTTAAATGAGAATAAATACGATATTGCCAATCGATAGAAAAAGAATTATTATTTTATCTTTACTTGAAAAAAAAATCAAGACAACATGTTTAAAATAAAGAATTAAGTAAATCTAAATAGATTGTATATATATATTAAGATGAAAGAAAAATATGCGTCCGTTGATATACGATATCATATCACAAGAAATAAACGCGCGTATTCATACAGTTTGATCGTTTTCAGTATATTATTATTCCTTGTTAGATAATATCCAATATCATAGTGTATAGTTATTTATTGATAAAAAGCTAATTTTGATATTATATTATTATCCGTTCCTGAAGTCAAGACACTCGATTGTTTTCTTAATAGCGTTTGATAGGAACAAGATGGAGGCTTGCGGTTTTCAGCGCTTGATAGGGAAGGTGCAGACATATATTTTTCATCAAGAAAGATTTTGCTTATGAAAATATACATCTCGGTCTGGCCTATCAATCGAATACACTGACTTCTGAAATGGATAACAGTTTACAGTCAAAAATTTCGATATTTAAATAGATCTATAGATTGTATAGAAATACATTAGATACCGACTCGAACTCATTTTTGTTGACAGATGAAGGTCATTTCTTTTTTTGTTTTTCGAAATTTATTGCTATTTTTATCTTTGAGAAAACTTATAGGAATGAATATAGTTTAAGAGAAATAAGTGGAATAAATATCTGGTAAATATAACTATATTTTGACACATTGTCTTATGAAAACGCCTTGATGCTTTGTTGAAATTGATATTCTGTATTTAATTTCAATAACTTTCTATTCATATTTTATTATGAATATAACAAAAACAAAACAAACTAATCATCATCATCATCGTCATCATCATCATCTTTAACACTTGCCATCAGATCATCTTGAAGAACATTCCATTTAACTGGTGTTGTTGTTTTCGGTGTTGATTGAGTCTAAAATAAAAATATTTCCATTATCTTTCATAAAGAAAACTAATCTCCTTACTGTTGCTAGATTTTTTTTCATAATTTTGCAAGATACTTCATCTGAATCAATTGTTTTGAGCATATCAAGAAATTCACCTTTATTTATTGTAGTTTCTTTTTTATCTTTTTTTTTAATTGATGATGAACTTTGTTGTTGTTTACGAACTGTATTAAACAATTGAACAATACCACGTGTAGCTACACGTTGTAATGAACGTTCATAATCTCGACCACGTGTTATATCAAATGGTTCATAATTCATTGCATCCCATTCACGTCTCTTTAAAACAAAAATTTCGAAAATTTTAAGTAATTTTTTTTTTTTTTTTCAATTTATTTACTCGTCGTTTTGTAGTACGTTCACTAAATGTTGGTTTTGGTTCAGCATCTGTTGATTTTTTAACTTTTTTTTCTATTTTATTTGGATCTACTCGTTCAATTGTTTGTCCACTTTCATTAACAACTTCAAAAACATTTTTTGGTAATGGTTTTTTTGTTTGTCTTTTTTTCTTTTTTATTTTTGATGAATTTTCTTCGAATGTCATCTAGAAATAAGATCGGTGTACAAGTTAAAAGATTTACATGCTTGATTTTATTTATTAAAAAGAAAAAAAAAAGGAAAATTAGTTTTTCTTGGCAAATTTTAATGAAGCAGAATTAACACAATGACGTTGTTGAATTATTTTTCCATTTGCATCTCGTAATCCTTCACCTTCAAAGACATGACCTAGAAAAAAACAAATATTCAAAATCATCTATATGAAAATAATATATACCTAAATGACCATCACATTTAGCACATAAAATCTCTTCACGATAACCATCTGCATCTTTTTCATGTTTAACGGATGTACCTAATGATGAACTAAATGCGGGCCAACCACAATGTGAATCAAATTTCGATGTTGAACTAAGTTTTTAGAAACAAATTAATTTAATTAATAAAATATTTTGGATATTTACTCGTATAAATCATTTCCACAACCAGCACATTTATATGTTCCAGTTTCAAAATGTTTATTATATTCACCTGTACCTGGAAATTCTGTTTCTTTCTTTCGTAATATACGATATTGTTCATTAGTTAATTTTTCTTTCCATTCACTATCAGGTAAATTTATTGGTGGTAATTTTTGTTCTTGTTTATTATTTGATGATGTCGACATATTTAATCTAGAAAATCATTACAAAAAAAAATATATTAAATCAATCATTAAAATTATTCTTGTTTTTAAATCACAGAAATATAATTCAATTATTCATATCGATGTTTTTGTCCTTTTAATTTCTTTAATGAAGGAAATCCTAAAATAAATGTTTGTATCATCCAAAGTAATGTTGATTTTTGATCAAGATTAAGCTTTTGACAAATACGACGAGCAATTATAGCTTCATAACCATGTGCAATAACTATAGACCAAAACACAACCAGAAGAAGTATATGATTTTTCAAAGCAAACCATGAAGATGAAGCACCGAATCCACCTAAATATTGAAATGGTATAACATTTGGATAATGTCCTAATAGAAATATAAGGCCAATTCCTCCAGGAATAATAAGCCACCAAAAAAGATGAGGTGAACGAAAATTGTTTTTCATCTAAAATTATAACGTAAATGATAGTTGATATATATTTTAAACTATTTATATAATAAGCAGAAAGCATGATCGAAATTTGAATTAAGAATTATCATAACTGTAAATCTCAAATTAACTTAGCACATTGGCGGATTTTGTTTTTATAGCTTAGCTTTCAATTAAAAAGACATCATACTAAATAATTCTCTTTTTTATTGATAAAATTTCAATAGTTATTATCTTAAAACTTTATTAGTGTATATTAGATACATGATAAAATAAAAATTTCTTATAGATTATTATTTACCATGTATGAGAATTATCGTTTCTTGGTTGCATATTGTCGTAATATACCTAATGAAGGATAACCTAATAGCAATGTTTGTATAAACCATCGACGAGTATTATTCGAATCAATATTTAATCTTTTACATATACGCCAAGCAACACATGCTTCAAAAATATGTAAAAATATTGAAATCGAAAATATCCATACAAGTAAACAATGATGATTGTATGCTAAATATTTCATAAATTGACCTAATAATCCCAAATAATCATATGACATTATATTTGGCCAAAATGTAATAATAGCTAATTGTAAAAGACCACCATCACATGGTATATACCATAATGGATTAACTGCTTGAAAGAAATGATCGGTCATCTTAAACAAAAGAAAGAAAAAACTTTTTATTATAACAATAAGCAAGAATAACAACTATAAATGAAAAAAAAGTAAATATCGTAATGTTTGACTTTCAAAGGGAAAAACAATGTTAGTTAATAAGAATAAGAACAAACAATATATTATCTCTGTTAAATATCGAAAATGAAAACCTAAGCATACATTCTTCTAGAATATGGAATGACTTCATCTAACACGATCTGTATTTCGATAACTACAATTATCACGTAAGGAATCATTATGTGTTTTATACTCCACTGGACCTAAAAGAAAATAAAATGATTAATTAATTCTTTTTGAGTTAATCTACTTACAATCTTGCGGTAAATTAAGAACTTTTTTCATTGCTTCTTTAATTCTTTGTGTCACTGATTGATTATTAGCAGTTTTAGTCCATATACTTATAAGATCTTCTTGCGGTCGAATTGAACAAACAATTCCACATATTTCTTTTCCAACATTAAATTGTTCTCCAATAACAGCCAAAACAAGTAATTCCCATAGACGAGTCGATAAACCTTTTTTTAAACGTAAAATCCATTTACCACCAAGACGATTTCCTTCTTCTTCCCACATTGGTTTTAAATTTTCTTTAAATAAATGAATATCACTAAAATAAAAGACTTCAGTAAAAATAATATTTTCTTTTATTATACCTATAAAGTGGAAGATCAGACGGAAATTTCATATGATCATAATAACACCAAAATTCTTCAATCGAACCAAATGTACCTTTTTTTAAAAAATAAACAAATAAATTTTTTTTTAAAAGAATTAAACTCAATAGTTACAAACAAACCAAGTTTTTTTAAACAAGAATCATAATTAACTGCACTATTTCGAAATGTTGTTGGTCGATGTGTATACCAGAATGTCCATCGACCTTCGAGTAAATGGAATGGACTATCACTATTTATAATATTATTTTCATCTTTTGTTAATGAGGAATTTTCAATTTTATCGTTTGTTTCTAATACAATTTCTTCATCACTTGCTGAATTTGTTGCCATTTTCCTAGTTGAGATTCTAATAGTAGATACAAGATTGCACAAAACAAATTATAACGAAATAAAAGAAGACAATATAAGGTGAGAATTGAATCGAATATATTCTATTGGTAAAACATATTCAACCAGTTATAAAGTAATCGTTATAAGATTATTCTCAAGTGACATCTATCGTAGACATCATATATAACATGGTTATTTAATTCTATATGATTTTGAACTGAACAATTTCTTGAAGAATAGTTTTGTTTCTCATATTTCGACGTTCTTTTTCAATTCTATAATTTTATTATTATTTATCCCAACTACATGTCACTGTTCGTTCTCTTATTTCTTTATTTTTATATAATGTATCGACTCTTTGAAGCTTTTTGATACAAATAAGTTAAATTAAAAAAATATGATCCTAATTAAACAATATGTATAAGACAACTTTTTCAAAGGCATTCATAAACAAATCATCAATGACCCATATATGAGCAAAATATATTTCAATCAAGACATTTTACTAATGTAATAAATATTCAACTTTTTGTTCGTATCTTTTATCGAATCTTATTGCTTTTAAACGTTTACAACACACGACCAAATTATTTCTGCACTATAAGTTATTGATAGTTCACGCTAATCGTTTTATTTTATATATTCGTTTGTTTAAACATAAAATACAATTCTCAAAACAAAAAAAGAATCAAATCTTACACATTCATTAAGTTTACGAAAACAATTATCTGAATCTAACGAATGAAAAAACGTTTGAAACTACTTATAACAGGACTTTTTGAATTTTTTATTTGATTTGCCGGATGCTCGAGTCGATGGTATTTGATCTAAATATAAAAGAATACAAACCAATAACATAACATATCAGAAAATTTATCATCAAGTAATTCATCGATATTTTTTTGGCTTATATCATGGAACAACCTTTCGTGTTTATCAGCATAATCTATTCATTTAAACAAGAAGTCAAGTTTTATAATAAAATTAGTTCGGAGACTTACTTCAACTATTGAATATTTTAATAACAGATACGCGAACTTTTCGGATCGATTCGTGTACATCGACTTTTCTAGAAAAAAGAATATCACGATTATATACAAAAATACTTTGTTCTACTTTACAATTTTATAACTTGAAATGTGGTACAGCCGTTTGTTTGTTCAAGTACATTGATATCATTTAATACATCTTCAACAAAGAAAGAATAATTAACTAAAAGGTTTAAGTTGAACTTGACTTGTTATTTTTTATTTTTATAGTTAAGAAAAACACGTTGTTGCCGATACTTCACTTTTTTTTCATTACTTATTGGATGATCAGCAATCATATTTGATAAAAACTATTAAAAAGTAAACTATGTTCCAGTCATAAAATGAGCAATAAACTCTACTCGAACTTTGTCTTGATCGTCATTTTCGGATATCATTTTAAATGGTTGGGGAGATGCCTCTTCGTGATTACAGTAGTATGTACAATTGTAGTATGTATAAATATGAAAATGTTATCATTTGAATATATTATTTCTCCGTTCTTACCCAGGTCGATGATTCCGAGAGCCGTTTCTGGCATCATATAAGGCATGAAATGGCTAAAGTCGTGCAGGAAACGGGTGTGAACGAATGTCGTTTCTCGCCGTTTAACACCGTTATCTGTAAACCCAAATTTGTATATGCCCAGGTCGAATATGCGCTGTCGTAAACGACCGTATTGTTCCGTATTTTCACGACAATATACGATCACTCCACAGTATCAAAATATGGCCGTTTTTCATCATCGTAGTTAATTAGCTCAAACTGTTCTAGTGGTGCCCGTTTACGGCTAAAAACGATCAATTACTGCCAGCGTGATCGATCGTTTATCTGTGTAAATGAGAGTATATGATACAGGGAAAATACGGTCGTAATACTGAGACAGGTAATACGCCAAAAATACGGCGAAACACGATCGTAAACGCTCGCTTACGACCGTATACGAATCGCGTATTCATCGACCTGGGCTATAGCTATCGATCTGTAGATTATCTATAACAGTCTAATATATACACATCGATAGATGTACAAACATTTGGGAGTTGAAAAAACTTTCATAATACTTTTATTCATTAATAACTATGTTAAAAAATTTTAAATGTAAAAGCTTTTTAAAATCATACATTGAATTTTTTTCCGTTGATAACTCGACTTATCCTTTACATAATAATTTTTGACTAGATCTCGACACATTCATTTTTTTTATCTCTTTGATAGATCGAGTCATCTGTTACATTGAAAAATGTTTGATGTACTTAGCTACTATGATCAAAGTTAATATAATATGTTTGTATATATAGTTTTGTATAGTCAATTAAAATATTTAAGTTTAGATTCTCTCGAATATGACCAATAGTTTCTTTAGACTCTTTAAATCATCAATGTGGTAATTATCGAGAAGTTAATAAACCGACGATTATTCAGTTTTCATTTAAAATATTTAAGATATGTAGAATAGAGCAGCTGCTCAATCTATTAGTCTTCTTCGGCTTCGTCCAATTACCCCTATCCGTAGACAATGTGGTTTTAAACTACAGAGCATAGTATTAAGATATTGTAATTATTTTATCTTCAAGAAATGATCAAGCTTTGATTGGTAGAAACTTCAATGGCTCTTTAAAAATAATGAGACAATTATTTAGTAGTTCCTTTTTTCTTCTAAATTTATACTTTCAAAATACTCACCATTAATTTTTTTTGAATTGAATGAATAGAACTTTTGAATGTACTGTTTTCTTTACATTCTTTCAGATTCTGATAATAGATTTTATACTAAAGAAAACAGATTTGAAATCAAACTGTACTTTATATTAATCTTTGAAATATTAATAATTTCTATGAATAATAAAGTTAATTTATTTAAAATAAATTTTGAAGTATTATAAGTGTTCATTATTATAATTAATATTATTTTTTAATCTATTCTTGATATTAAATTAAGTTGTATCACTTGTGGTTGTAATGCTAATTGGTTAGGAAAGACTTTATGTTGTAGACATCGATTCCAGTGCTTCTTAAAAAATACGTAGAAGAATTGTCGTCGAAATCTTTCTGAAATACTTATGTAGATATAGAATGAACTCTAAAAAAAATTTAAAATAAAAAATAAAATTTAATCGAAAAGATCTATGCTTACTGCGAAATACGAATAATACACACATAAAGTTATAGTATAAGCTAGATCGACACTTGCTTTTATCATTGGATCTTGAATATTTCCATATGAACCAATACTATATGCGATCAAGGATGGGAAAAGACTAAAAAAATTATATACTATTTGTACAAGAACCATGGCTGTTAATTGTTTGTCTAATTGAAGTCGAATAAGAGGTACCGTTCGATTTGATGATTGTTGAATATTTCGGTATGCCATTGTACCAAATAGAATTGTCAATGAATAGGGTAAAACATTTCCCAAAAAGAGATAATTAAAATACATATTAAATTGTACAAAAGACATATTTGTAATTCCACAAATTGTTTTCTCTGTTGGAATTGGTTGAATATGTTTATAATAAATCAAACATGGAATTTGTATTATCATTAGAATAAAAGTAATAATTATTAATATACGACGAGTTGTTTTAATATTACTCCATTGTTGCCATTGAAGACGAGTGCAAGTTGCAAAATATTGATCGATAGAGGCAAGACATATACATGCAAGTGAAAGTGATGTCGTAAATTGAAAAAAGAATGTTCGAAATTTACAATAAAATAATGAAGTTTGAGTATAATCTATGCTGAAACCACTCATTAGAATTCGACTTAATAAACCCGAAATCAATTGGCCAATATTAACAATGGACATGATGGTTAAATAGAATGCACATGAATTCTCACGAAATGTTTTCAGACTTAGAAATACAATGGCATTAAGACAGTTACCAACTAAACCAACTATAAGAATTGATGTTCCAAAATAAATAATCACTGGTTGATTTGCAGCAATGAGAGATGCAATAACTGTTGACGACATTTGTATTTTAATGTTAAACAAACAAAAATATTCTTACATTATATATATATATTAAGTCCTTTAATGAATAGTTTCTTATTAACAAAAAAATAAACATCTTATGCATGATTTCAATGTTGAAAGATGAAACAATGGGATATGTGATTATTATAATGATGTTAATTCTAAATCATAATATTTAACTTTATATCTATTTATAATTTTATTCTTCGCATCTAGAAATAAAACGTAATTAAGTTCGAAATAATATTAATTATAGTATATGATATTTTCAATTGTTGCCTTACATAAAAAATATAATGTGAACTTATCGTAATTAATATCTATTTTTTAATTATGAATTTTGTTGAGTTAAAACTAATTTTTATTATCTATATTAGACTTATTATGTACGACAGTTTAACTGTAAATAACTCTTTAATATATTCATATTCGCTCATCCATATTTATACATACGTGTCTTTTTCATGTTTATCTCATAAACAATGCTTACTACATATTGATTACATCAATTGTAATAGCTGTGAGTATTCCTCAAAATATGTGACAGTCATTTCCAATACAAATAAGATAAATACAGGAATTCGTATCTATAGGAGAAGAATGAAGATATCAAAAACAAACATACTGTTTTCTAAAGAATTCAGATTTAGATAGTAGACACATTCAAATTGTATTTTGAGGTCATGGGGCACGGCATAAGAATAAGTATGATTACCTTAGATACATAAGGTATTCTCATATTCACACTTCCATCCTCATGAATCTAATCAATAAAATCTAATACGTCTTTTTCAATATTGTCAATTACAGCAAAACACAATATCTTTTTTTATTCAAAAAGGTTTTGTTTTTCATAACATGACAGAATTTTGTATACGACTGAAGTGTACTACAATTGTATATTTGTCCTTGGATATAAATTTCCTTCATTTATACCAGCTTATATAAAGACAAAAATATTGTTTATATTCTAGATTGATTTAGATAAGCACTGTCTGTATTATCTAAATTTTATTTCATAAAACTCGATCCCTTCATCATATATTATATTCTAGAATATTCAATAAAATAATCTTCTATATTTATTTTATCTTAAAATATATTTATATATCACACAATTATTATTTCTATGTAAATCAACTATCTTTTTTAATATTATTCATGGTATATGCATTGCATTCTTGTTTTCTTTAGATTTATTTAAAATGAAAAAAAAAGAAAGAAAGAAAGAAATAAAAGTGTCAAGAAAAGCAAAGCAGTGAAAAAGTAAATATTCATTAAGCAAAATAAAGCATTGAATGCATAAATACATACATATATATATATATGTAAATGATTATAAGAAAGAGTTATATAACTATTTGTCATAGTTACAATATTGTCATTAATAGTTTGATTAGAATAGAATAAAATAAATAACTAATAACCATAAAATTCTACTGCACTGTAAGAAACCCAAGCACCGGAGCTCCTTTTACTAAGAACACTGAGACGATAACCTGTAAATGATTGAGGTGATGGAATACTTAGATAATTTCCAAAAGCACCACGATCTGCAATACTTGTTAATCCTGATGTATCATTGTAAAGAGTTGCCCAACTTGTACAACTTAATAAATCATTACAGTTAGTTCCTTCAAGTGCAATAGTCAAAGGATCATAAGCCGATGTTGATCCCGTAGCGAGACGAAATGTAACGAGTGTCGGTTGACACTGTGCAATAGTAACATGAAAACCAGTATAAAGACCGGAAACTGCACTGACTCCTGAAAAATTACCTCGACTTGTATAATAAGTATTGTTTGCATTATCAAACAAATTATCTGGACCCGAGTTAGTAAAATATGTTCCAGCACCTGCTGAATTTTCTGTTGCAATTGTACTAAGTCCACCTATATTTATGTTCCATAGAGCTTCTAAAGACGCAGCTTGTATGACGAATAATGTTGGTGAACCTAGAAAAGAAAATATGAGTAAATCAAAGAAGAAATAGTTGAGTTCATTCATTTCAATAAAGTGAAAGACTAAGAACTCATTGCATAACACTAATGACATATGTCTTAGTGTTTTTTAGTTCTTCTAGTTTGTTTTCAAAATTAACTTTTCTCATTAAAAATAAACATCGATATCTTTCAATAACAAAACAAAAATAAAAATAAAAATATTTCAACATACTTGCTGTTTTATTTGCTGTGGTTTGAGTTGAATAACCAAAGAACTCTACATCACTATAACTCACAAAAGAACTTGTAGATCTTTTGCTTGTAACAAGAAAACGATAACTCTGGTATGAAACAGTATTTGAAACTGTTTCAACAACTCCATACGTTGCATTAGTTCCTGATATATCAAGACCACTTGATCCATTATAAAGTAGTGTCCAAGTATTACAAGTTTGCAGATTAGCACAATTTGTTCCTTCAACTGTAACAGTAAGTGGATCATTTTGCGGACTACTTGTAGTATAACCATAACTAAATCCAGTAAGTACTGGTTGGCATTGTGCAATAGTAACATAAAAACCAGTATTAAGACCTGCAATTAAATTATTTCCAATTGAACTACCTCGACTTGAATATATTGTATTGGCATTGTCATCGAATAGAGAACTAATTCCTTGAGTAGCCGGATAATTTCCAACATTTGTGCCTGGTGAAGATAAAGTACTAATTCCACCTGCAGAAGTATTCCAAACACCTTGTACAGTATTAGGTTGCACATCCAGCTCAATTGATAAAACTAAAAATAATAAAATATAGTATTATTTTTGTGATAAATATTAATATATTGTTCATATGTTGAAATGTAACATATTGTTTCTCTCTATTGAAAAGTAT